CGCTCTGTATACGATTTTAGCGCCTTACAAGTGCGGACACTTTTTAGACCCGACGTCCATATAATTGTAAGTCAATGGTTACATGTGTAAAAATTTTACCAATGGAATAAATTATTATTTAACTTTGTGACGGTGTGACCTCCTTACACCGTCATCTCACCTCTTTGTATCGCCTCTCTCCGCTTGTCATAATTTTTTTTATTTTTTAAATGTATTTAAATTTTAAATTTGAATTGTTCCATCTTCCTTCACTTTCTCGTTTTGTTTTCGTACCACTGTCACTCCCAGCTCGACCGCCACAACAGTCGGAGCTGTTAATAAGCTAATCATGTGTAATAATTTATAAGTCTACACCCTTCATGTATCTATTTCTGTAATTCAGTTTCTCGGCCCATTTAGGGGTAAGTGCCTTAATAATAGATATATTGTTACAGCCTTTCTTTAAACTTTACTTCTTTAATAAATTTTGTGGACCGAAGTTTCCCGTTTCATTGCCGTGAACCTGTTCACGGCTAGTTAGGGTTACAACCCTTTCAACTTTGATTTTGACTTAGACTTTGTTCCGCTCGGAGCACTCCTCCAGCGTGTGCCGGACCTTGTAGATACAGTTGTATTTCTATATATAACTTTATATGTTAAATTGCAATGGGATCCACATATAAGTAAGTTATCAAAACGGCTCAGATCTGCAGTATACGCAATTAAAAAAATACGGAAACTTTCAGACGTTGTAACAGCTAAATTGGTTTACTTCAGCTGCTTTCACAGTTTAATGACATACGTCATTTTGATTTGGGGCAATGCCGCCGATATTAATAGAATCTTTGTCCTGCAGAAACGTGCGGTTAGGGTAATTTACAATCTGGGTCCCAGTGTCTTTGAGAGATAAGTTCAAAGAGATTAACTCTTACACCAACGTCATAATACATTTATTATGAAAATGTTATTGATGTTAAGAGAAATATTTTATTGTTATGGAAACTAGTGACAGACATAACATTAATACAAGGAATAAAAATAAACTAGCTGTTCTTCACGGTCGTCTTCATAAAGTATCAAATTCATTTAAGGGGCAATGTATATGCTTCTGTAACAAGATTCCGGTTCATCATTCAGCCATACGACGCCCACTGCTGGGCTTAGACCTCCCCCAACGATCTCCACGACGATGGATCCTGCGCTGCCCGCATCCATCGGCCTCCCGCAACCTTTACCAGATCGTCGGTCCACCTGGTGGGTTAGCCTACCCACTGAGCGCCGTCCGGTGCGCGGTCACCATTGTAGAACCTTTACGCTCCAACGGCCCCGCCCACTGCCACTTCAGCTGAGCAATTCTTCGAGCTATGTCGGTTACCTTAGTTCTCCTACGGATTTCCTCATTTCTGATTCTATCACGTAGGGTAATACGGAGCATAGCTCTCTCCATTGCCCGCTGAGTGACATTGAGCCTTCTTATGAGACGCATAGTGAGGGACCACGTTTCTGATCCATATGTGATCACTGGCAACACACAGTGATCAAATACTTTCGTTTTGAGGCACTGGGGTAATGTGGACGCAAAGATTTTTTGTAGTTTCCCTAACGCTGCCCATCCGAGCTAGATTCGACGAGAGATCTCTTTCTCAAAGTTGGACTTACCTAACTGGACTGTGTGCCCCAGGTATACGTAATAGTCAACAACTTCGAGTGTAATGCTCCCAATTATAACTGGAGCGAGTACAATATGGACATTCGACATAATCTTCGTCTTGTCCAAGTTCATCTTAAGACTCACTCTTTGGGAAAAACTACTGAGATCTTCGAGCATTGTGTTCAGGTCTCCCAAGGTCTCAGCCATTAGAACTATATCATCAGCAAATCGAAGGTGTGTTAGATACTCGCCATTGATGTTCATGCCAAGTCCTTTTCAGTCCAGAAGCTTGAAAATGTCCTCCAACACGGCAGTGAACAGTTTCGGAGATATCACATCTCCCTGTCTCACGCCTCGTTGCAGTTGTATAAGATTCCCGTTAAAATTCAAAATTTGCCATTTACGAGGTTTAAAACTATAGTGAAACAAAAGCTTTATTCTATAGGTTATTACAGCTTCTGGTATTGGTACGTCTGCGTACTTGGGTGACAAAAATCCGTGGTAGTGACCCGTTTAGCTCTTGCAGGTAATCTCCATCTAAAATGTGTATTTACAAAGAGCTACTCCTGCAGTTTCTTGCTAATTCTTCTCAGGTGAATCTGCCCTACTAATGAGCAGTAGAGTTTCATCAGTATGATGATTTGAAGTGTAATTTCCTTACCTATGAAACAAAGACTTTTTGACTTCGACTTTGACTTTTAAGTTAGTTAGCTTCGTTCGCGGTGTAGAAACGTAATTTTCCTTGTAGCTTTCAATTTTGGTTACTTGTGATTTTATTTGACTGGGTTGTTTGTATTTCTTAGAATCTGGGTTTTTTGCAATACACCGTCTTTAGTCAAAGTCAAAGTCACAGATTATTTATTCCATAGGTAAAATAAATTTACACTTGAAAACGTCATTTTTTAAGCTACTGCTCGTTCACTACGCTGACCTCCCTGAGAGAAACAAGCAAGAAACTCCAGCTCTAACTCTCTAACTATCTCTTTTCAAATTAACTTAAATGCTATAAAATGCATTTTGAATCATATTTGTGTGGAATCTAGACTCACGTTGTCTCTCCATACATCTTTATCTACTACTTAGTATACAATTTTGTAATATGACTTTTCAATTAAAATACTTTTAATGTAAGTTTTAAACTTAGGAAGTCTAGTCCAGTATGCTACCCGTTCGGCTTCGGAGGCAGTACAAAGATCAACGACATTACCCCAAGGCAGCAACGAATTCGTTATACTAACTGCAGTTCTGATCTTTTTCAGGGTTAACTCTACTGATCTCCCACCTGCCAACGGGCTCATGCGTGAAGGCCACATCTCTGATATTCGGGAAGACGACTAGCACCACGGCTGCACCTGAAGAGGTGCCTTCAGGAGCTGATAATGGAGCGCAGGTGGGTTGGATTAATATTGTATTACCGAAGAGAGAAACTAAGGGCTATCTTACATACTCAATGGTTTGCTCCCTTAAAATGGGACATGGTACTTTGCCTACAGATAAGTGACAGTTAAATGAAATAAAACTTGTAATACCATTAATACAAATGTCATTTATATTCATTATCATCATATCAGCCGGAAGACGTCCACTGCTGAACCTATGTTCAACTAAAACCTATGTTCTGCAGAACATAGGCCTCCCCCAAAGATTTCCAGACCAGCCGATCTGACGCGCCGCGCAGCCATCGGTTACCCGCCGCCCTTACCAGGTCATTCGTCCATCTAGTAGTGGGCCGTCCCACTGAACGTCTTCCAGTTCTTGGTCTCCATTTGAGAACCTTTCTGCCCCAGCGGCCGTCAGTTCCACGAGCTATGTGCCCTGCCCACTGTCACTTCAACTTGCTAATCCTTCGAGCTATGTCGGTGACTTTCGTTCTTCTACGGATCTCCTCATTTCTATTCATTTATATTAAAAAGAAGTAATTTATTAATACAAAGATCGAACACAGAAAACCCACGACCATGCTGCACCGTAGCATTGCTCTTACCTTTTTTCTTCTCTCTTTTTCGGAAGCTACAGGTCAAGTTGCCTGTCGAAATTCTCCTATGTGTTTTTGTTATAGGTCTTTGTACTGGCTTCCGGCATTCGTCGCCACTGGTGACATCTAGTGAGAGATTTTTAAAAACCTTCTCATTCATGAACAAATTTGTCTATGTGTTTCATCTTTAGTAATAATCATTACAAATAAAAAACGTAGATACGACAACAAGCACATAGAGAAATTCGTGAGGTCCGCTGGTTAGTTCCGTGGCTTAGTTGACTCGGTTTGCTAGACGTCGATTCGTATCCGGCCGGATGAAGGAATTTTTTTCTAAATGTTCGATCTTTGTATTAATAATAAAACTATAACAAACTAGTGGAGTAATTTCACATAAAAAATAATTAAATATCAATTCAATAAAAATTTAAATACTGTGAATAGCGACTTCTCTAGGCGGGCCTGGTATCTATAAAGGTATCTAGCTGGGTGACGAAATACTTTCACAGATTTCCCATAGATGGCGCTACGGCTAAAAAGTCGTTGAAAAACCAAATACAAAGATCTGACTACAAGCACATAGAAAAATTCGCGAGATCCGCTGGTTCTTTCCGTGGCTTAGCTGGTATAGCGTCTGGCTCGGTTTGCTAGAAGACGTCGTTTCAAATCCGGCCGGATCGAAGGAATGTTTTCTAAGTGTTTGATCTTTATATTATTACAAAACATTTAATAATAGTACAAATTATTCACGAAAAATAATGACAGACCCATTGACTTACAAATAAATGGACGACAGGTCTAATACAAAAACCACGAAAAAAATGTCCCAGGTCAACCTATTTAAACGTAGTGACAGGTAAAGAAATATGAAAAAGCTAAAACGTTGAATTTAAATTGTAATGTCATCGCAGTACTGTCTAATTTTGCTTGCTTCGCTGTCAGTCGAACAAACGAAGACTAAAGCGTGAATGACGCTCTGTATACGATTTTCACGCCCTATAAGTTCGGACACTTTTTAGCGCGGACCCGACGTCCATATAATTGTAAGTCAATGGACAGACCACATTAATAGCTACAATAATAAGCTGTTCTTAACAATCGCCTTCACACAGTCACAAATTCATACAAGGGAAAATATATTATACGCTTCTGTAACAAGATTCCGGTTAATATTCAAAATATACCATCCACAAGGTTTAAAACTGTGGTTAAACAAAAACTTTATACTAAACGTTATTTATACAGCTTTCGCGTACTTGAACGATAAAAATCCGTGGTAATGACCCGTTGGCTCTTGCAAATAGTCTCGGTTTATGGTATTTGATATAAGTATTGTAAAATGATGAATATATGCAATGGTTTATTTACAAAGAGAGTTTCCCTAGAGTTTCTTGCCCATTCCTCTCATGGCCTTACGAATAAGCAGCAGAGTTTATCAATATTTGTGAATGACGATTTCAAGTATAGTTTAGTTACCTACAAAATGAAGGTTAATTTTTATATATTTAAGATTTAACTTTGGCTTTCTTCGAAAGTTCGGGTGACTTATTTACTTCGGTGGCGTAGTTACCCAAAGTGGGTTTTGGCCTCCGGCATCAGATTCTTCCACGCCTCTCAGTTCCAACCCAACTCCTTCTAACTCTGGGGTTCCTCAGATCTTTCTGGACCTCAACACTCCAGTCCAGGCCAGTCGGCGTCCACTTGGCCGTCTCATGTACGCTCTCTTCGCAGCACGATCCTCTCTCATTCTCTCCACGTGTCATAGCCAATGGAGTCTCGCTGCTCTAGTTTCTCCCACAATATGGTACCCGGACATCATATCTTCAATTTCAAGGTAAGAACCTTGAAATTGAAGACCTGGTGTCGAAATCTGATGTCTGGGCTCGAAAAGAAGAGGGCAAGAAAGATCTTGGATGGAAGGATGGGAATCTTCCTTTGAGTCGGTTTTAGAATCTTCTGCAAGATTTTGCTTTCCGAGCTAGCTGTCTTAATTGTTACTATTCAATACAGCCTATTTTGCACAAGGAAATGAATAACATAAAAGTTACCTACCTTGGATATCTTATATGCACAAGTATATACATAACAAGTACACAAATCCTACGCAATGTGCGTGAAGTTCGTTGTCATAAAAAGTTGCTTTATTTCCTGATTTTATTATCCGGTTCCTTTCTTTCCGGATACTTGTTGATAAAGAACAATGGCTAATTCCCATATAAATTTTTGTTGACGTAATTTATATGCGTCTGTTTATGAGGTTTACTATTCTGAGATGATTATTTCGTTTTTATATACTGAGTCATAAGTTAGCATATCCCATATGCCTGTAATTTCACCAGCACCCTTACCCTTCAAAACCGAAACACAGTAATGCTGACATTACTCAAGATTATTAGAAATAGGTAAGATAAGTGTACACTGGTTTGTTCGTTTAATTCTTAGACTGTTTTTCTTTTACCATCCTCTAAGGTTTAATTGTATATTAATAGTAATTTTTTATTTTATTTTTTAAATTTATTGACTGCGTTCTTTGTATTCTCCTGTAATCTCTTTTCGGCTTGCTAAGCACTTTATATTGTTTCATGTTGGTGGAAATTCGTAAATGGCATTGGATTACTCATATTTAAGTTTACTATAATTGTATTATTTGTCCGTGAATTTTCCTAAAATGTATAAATAAATAAATAAATAAATAAATAAGATTATAAGATTATGTTTTACATAATTGAATAAATTGTATTCGGTGTACTATTATATTACAATGAACTACAGGAATCTTAAACGTAGTTAATAGAAGCTGTGGGTTTGTAACGTGACGGAAATTCAGAGGAAAACATTTTTTATACAGTAGGGTCAAAACGAAGTTAAACCATAACAAAAACAAAACAGAGTTAATACATACCATGCACTGGTAACTCAGGCACAAAAGATGGTTTTTATGAAACATGCCATCTATCCCTGATATCGGGAACTTTTTGTTTTGCTACTTTTTTGCATGGCATATTTGAAGCAGAAATTAAAGTATTTGCGCAATACGTTTGATTCATATCAGTTCCGAATACGAGAAATGACGGTCCGAAAAGTCACAGGGATCATTTTGTCTCTAGGATTACAAGCGACATTCGTTTTTTCACGGATTTGAATAGGACTTGGTTGACAAGCGACATCCCAAGTGGGTCCGAATTTTCTAGATTTGTATAGCCTCGGATTCGGAAAGAACAGACAGACGCGCTTATCCTTAATTATCTATAATTGCAAATTGATCGAATCAGTACATTTGATATTACGTGAAGTGACCCAAAATCGCTTAAATATGGTATTTTTGTATACGTTTTTAGGCGATAACCATTGACTTACAAATAAATGGACGACGGGTCTAATACAAAAACCAAGAAAAAAATGTCTCAAGTCAACCTATTTAAACGTAGTGACATGTAAAGGAATATGAAAAAGCTAAAACGTTGAATTTAAATTGTAATGTCATCGCAGTACTGTCTAATTTTGCTTGATTCGCTGTCAGTCGAACAAACGAAGACTAAAGCGTGAATGACGCTCTGTATACGATTTTAACGCCCTATAAGTTCGGACACTTTTTAGCGCGGACCCGACGTCCATATAATTGTAAGTCAATGGCGATAACATAGCACGTGGAATTTTGAAAATAGTACATATTTGTAACACGTATCTTGAAGTGTTGCTTGAAAATCCAAGAATATTGCTAATTGTCATAGGCAATACAAAATTACAGTGAGACTCTGGTGATTATTTTTTGACATATTTTTCTCGGGCAAACCAAACTTGCGTACTACCAAATTTGGTGTGTTTATTAAAATGATACTTATCTTGGTAGACTTGCCAATAAAATCTTTTTTTGGCTGTTAGACGTCGCTCAATATTAAGAAATTAAGAAACTGACCGTTGTAGATATCTGTTCGGTCGTAGTAATTCGACATTTGATTTTTTTCATTTAAGTATAATTTTATTTTTGGACAGGCATTTAGTGTAACTACAAAAACCCAGTAAATTTATTTAATTCAATCTTGTAATTATGACATTTGAAGACGCCAAAGAGTTCTTATAACAACGATTTCGCCATTGTTCTTTGTTGATTCGAGTTTGATATTGGATTATTGCATCTAGTATATAAGCAGAAATAGGTAACTGGCAACTCAAAACTCAACACAAAAATCAGTCAAACGGTACTGTTATCACTTTTAAATATCAACTCTCGTTTGCGCTGAAATCACAAATTAGAAAGCTGAAATAGTACAGTGCTAACAACTGACCTGTGTGTAGTCCCGTATATTACAAAAATATTCAGTATTAATTGTAATAAAGATAATATCTCTAACAATTGGGGGCTTTTCATTCGGTGGTGTGGGAAAAACAGCAAAACATCTAATTACGAAACAAACGGAATCAATTTCATCGGTAATTAAATATGTAATTTTTCCATTTTCGTCCGTTACAACAAAGCTCAAGTTAAACTGGTCATTTGAAGTGAAATAATTGACGACACTCGTCAATTGTTTCGAATTCGGGCTGACCAATCGGAGCGCACTTGTATTGACTCCCCATTGACTGTTTTTAACCACCGACACAAAAAGAGGGAAGTTACAAGAAGCCTTAGTCTGTATAAAAACATAAAATCTTAAAAATCTCTTTCTAAATTCCAGGTGGAAACGGAAGAAGGCGAGTCAACCTCCCAAAACACAACAAGGAAACTCAGCGGTATACCTCAGATAGACTACATATACGACCCTAACTTACCCAGAGAGCTGAACGGATATAATCTGTCCGAATACCCGTTTTACGAGACTGTACCCCCGCCGGAGACCATTGACTTCAAATGTGATGGATTACACGACGGATTCTACGCTTCCGTCCCGCATAAATGTCAGGTACTTTAGTTCGTAACTATGGCTTAATGAACGAGAGGAATAACAAGTGTCGTGCTGCACACTGGATTATTTCAAAAAGATTTTTCTGACAATATTCAATAACAAGTCGATTTCAAAAGTACGTGGAATTACGTCTATTTGCCAAGGTTTATTGTACCGGAAAGTGCGCGAAACCGGATTCATTCCCTAGTTTGCCCTTAGAGGTGGAATATTTTTTTTATTTCTTAAAATTGAAATAGGACTACTTCTGAGGTATTATATTTATAATAACAGGATTTAGCGCGTGATATACATACAAAAAAGACCTTTTTTTGAAGTCAGTTAAATATTTAATGGTTTGTCTATTCATTTCAATTATCAATGAAATAGTTTTTTTTACTATCGTGCCATATAACAACAACTAACTAGTTTTTTAGGCACTTTTTTCAAACAACTTGTTATTGAATATCGTCAGAAAAATCCCTACCGCGTCGCGCAGCTACCTCAGGAACCGACTCAATTAAGCGGTACCTTATCATATTTAGTTTGTACGTTATACGATTGATATAAAGTTCAATATGCTTTGTACAATTTCGTTAGAAAAATTCGCTTCTATTTCTTTCCGGGGGACGTAAATGTCAGATGATAAAGCCAGTGATTAATCAATCCATCTCCCGATTAGAATAAATATTAAATCTGAATTAAGGCAACTGTCTTTGCTAATGAAGTATAATTAATTGATTACATTATATACACGAATCTTTTGTGCACTTGTTCTTTGTTGCCTCTTTATAATATAGTTTATAATTGTAACTTTTTTATAAAAAAAAAACCAACGTCAAAAGTTCGTTGAGTGCACAACAGTGGATTCATCCCCCAGTTTACCACACTTAGAGGTGGAATATTTTCTTGAAATTTAAATACATCCAATACTGAGGTACCCTCTTTCCTACAAAACAAGAATCACCGATATCTGTTCACGACAGACGAAAGTCGGCCGGAATTTCATTTCCTACGTGCAACAATCACAAAAGCGTAAGAACTGAATATGTAGTTCATCTCCTTTTTTCCTCACATTCCAGGTGTACCATCACTGTCTGTTCGGGACCAGATACGATTTCCTATGCGCGAACTACACAGCGTTCGACCAGAAAACATTTATCTGCCATTTTGTGTCTGAAGTCGATTGTAAGAACTCGCCTAATTATTACAATAGGTAAGTAGTTTTAACTTTAATTTATTTAAGTCATCTGTAATGTTAAAATAATAACGCATAGAATGATAGTTTCATATCAAACGAACGGTCACAAGTGAGGCAAAAATCAAATTCATGTAGGCTAGTTTTAGTAGTAGGTTAATTTTCGGTTTTAGTGAATATTTATATAAAAATACAAGTTGAAACGCGTTACTTCCTTGTGGAATGTGACGTTAGTATCTATTTTATGTTTGTCTGACGTATTTTTACACTCATTTACCGCACATTTCGTCATTTTTAGCTAAAATTCTGGAGCTGTTCGCGGTGCAAGTTGACCTTGACCACTGAAGGCCCGCCCGCTCGTGTCGCTCGACCCATTGGGCGCGCTTCAATTTGCCTCATTTAGCGTGTGCGGACTAGGTTTCTATGCGTTATTATTCTGTCTGTAATACATTCAACACTTGTGTTATCAAAATACACCAACATGTTTAACGTGTTTCTGAGGTGATAAGTGACACGTTTAGAAATAACAGCCGCAGAGCTTTAAAATACAAAGATCTGAGGAGCACTGCCACTGTGCGCGTCACCCTGAGACGTAGCTTGATAAGTCTCATGTGCCTGGAATTCCTAAAGTTCCTAATCCGAGTTTACATAAAGACTATAGAAAACTCCGTCTCACTTCGGATGTCGCTTGTGGACTAAGTCCGATTCAAATCCGAGAAAATACAGTGATGGAATACCGATTGGGGTTAGAAGGATATAACTTACTTCATTTTCAAAGCATTCTAATTATAAATCTATTCACTCAGCCAATGATTCTACTCATAGAGTAGAGCCTAGACTACAATACGAATATCGCTTGTACACCTAGAGATAAAATATGATCCCTGTTACATTTCGGATCCTCATTTCTCGGGTTCGGGACTGATAAGAATCGGACGTAGTGAGCAATCGCTCGTACCCTTTAAAACCGGAATACAGTAATGCTGACATTACTGCTTGGCGGCAGACATAGGTAAGGCAGTACTTGGACATGGACGAACCCGTTCACAACGAGCTCTACTACTACAGTGCTTTCAGACATGTTGACAAATTTTATGACAAAGTTTTAGTACAATTTCTATATGTTAGCAATAATGAATGAATAAATAAATAAGCATGCCGCAAAGTTTGAAAACAAAGGCTTTCATTCAGTGCGTTCTACCTGTTATGACATACGGAGCCGAGACGTGGGTACTCACGATGCGGTTCGACCATCAGTGAACTGTCGCTCAGCGAGCTATGGAACTTGGAGTTTCTCTGAAGGACAAGGTACGGAACGAGGTTATCCGACAGAGAACCAAGGTCGTCGACATAGCTGGTAGAATAAGCAAGCTAGGCAATGGGCTGGTCATATCTGTCGAAGAATCGACAACCGTTGGGGAAGCGAGTTCTTGAGTGTAGACCACGGCTCCGCGAACACAGTGCAGAACGCTCTCTGGCCAGATTGACGTGACGATTTGAGGACCGGGCGAAATAGTGTGCTTTGAGAGAGGCTTACGGCTAGCAGTGGACCGCGATAGGCTGGTGATGACGGTGAAATAAATATGGCTTCTTCTTATCGTATCAATGCTTGCTATCGTGGTGTAAGAAATTGCAGGTATGCTACGACGTATAGGAAAGGAATTGTGTGTCGTACGGGGAGGCTCTTTCGTGCAGCCCATGATCAAATATCAACCGAAATGGGGTTTAAATTTTTATCTATTTTTATTCATTTTTATTTGCCAAAATTACTTTCGTAAAAAGGACTTAATGGTACCTAAGAGCGTTTGCAGACTACGTCCGATTCGTAAATCTAATCTGAATTCAAGAAATGACGGTCGGAAATGTCACAGGGATCATTTTATCTCTAGGTGTACAAGCGATATTCACATTACGGCCCGGGAAACGAACCTGGGACCTCTGCGTGGCAGTCCGGTATGGTAACCGTTCGGCCACGGAGGCAGTTTAATTAAATTCGAAATGTGTCCAATCTTTCTAGATTTGTATAGTCTCGGAGTACCATTAAAAAAACACTCTGTATAATTATGTCAACTATATATCAATTACTGCTATCAATGGTTAATCAACAATCTTTTTTCAGAAACGAAGCCCTGTACAAGGTAGCGTCAACAACGCCGCCTCCCCCCCCCCCCCCCGCCCCCAACAACCACGACCCCCCATCCACCACCCGTACGACCAGAAGGTCGCCGTCGACGACCTGCGTACAGATACGATTATTACGACGACGATTATTATGGAAGAGATGACTATGAATATGAGGAAGAGTAAGTATCATCAAATTTATGGCCGCCTGGTACCGTAAACTACACCCAATAACAATTGAAGCGGTTTTAGTTCTGTAGCGTATCGCTACCCTGCGTATCTAAATGCAGAAACCGTTACAACTCGTTAAAGCACGTAACTTTCGTCGGTTCTTGAACCTGAGTCCTTGATCCCTATCGACCGTTCCGCAAGCTCAAAATTATTTTAGGCCGTAGGACTGGCGAGGGAAATAGACAACCGAAATAACTTTTATATAAAATTAATTTGCCACCCTTTGAGGTAAAATATTGTCTTCAAATTTAAATGGGACCAATACCCAGGTACCCTCTTTCCAACAAAAAAAGAATCATCAACATCAGTTCATAAATAATAATTATTAATCGACTTCCTATAAAGAGGTTCTCAATTCGTCTGTTTTTTTTGTGTGTAGTTACGCGATTATTCCGGCATTTTTTTTGCTGGAAAGAGTTATTAGTCCCATTTAAATTTGAAAAAAATATTCCACCACTAACGGCACAAGCCATGCTCGTACGCACGCGACGGCCCGCGCGGCGATTATATTACTCAGAGGAATTTAATCGTTGTTGCCTAGACTATATGGATTCAGATTCGCCATTAATGTACATGAAGGCATGGTAACTGGGCGGTCGCCGCGAAACAATTTTCTCGTATAACTGGGCGCTAAGGGTGACAAATTAGTGAATGTATCCGGTAGCTTATCTCAACAAAACTTGGCAAATTAACGTACTTCCATGAACTTTTGAGGTCAGTTTTTAATTTTTTAAATTACTTTGAAGATTATTATGTTATAATTATTAATACAAAGATCGAACACTCAGAAAAAATTCCTTCGATCCGGTCGGATTCGAACCGACGTCCTCTTGCATACCGTGCCAGACGCTATACCAACTAAGCCACGGAACGACCCAACGAACCTCACGAATTTTTCTATGTGCTTGTGTCGTGTCTTTGTACTTGGTCTTTCAACGACTTTTTAGTCGTAGCGCCATCTATGAGAAATCTATGACAGATTTATCACCCAGTTAGTACCTTTACAGCTACCAGTCATGGCGAGAGATGTCCGTGAGGTCCGTTGGTTCGTTCCGTGGCTTAGTTGGTATAGCGTCTGGCACGGTATGCAAGAAGGACGTCAGTTCGAATCCGACCGGATCGAAGGAATTTTTTCTGAGTGTTTTTTCTGATTGTTCGATCTTTGTATTAATAATTATAACAAACTAGTGGAGTAATTTCACAAAAAAATAATTGAATATCAATTCAATAAAAATTTTATTGATTATTATGTTATTAGTATATTGTGGTGGCTTGGTTTCAAGCAAGTATCTTAGACTTAACAGTAAAATGGCACCAAAGTAAACTTGAAAAGAATTATTAGATAACGCGGTAGTGCCAACCTTGTTTTACGTTATTGGGATTGCCAATAATTTGGACATACCAATGCTTCGTTGACCAGAAACATAATAAACTCAATTTTCTGGTACCATCTTGTATCACAAGGTTTATCATCATTTCGGGCAGCGATTTTGCAGTTTCCTGCGAAATATATGTGACATCAGTTACGCAGGACTTCAGGCACGACTTTTTTCGTCTTTCTGGCTTACGCTGACCTAGAGGATGTATTTCCTTCAAATCCTTGCTAATACTTTAAGAGTGTATCCATGTATTCATCTGTATAAGTCCATAATATGCAATCCATCATGTAGACAATCTCGGCAACAAATCAAAAATTCGGAGAAAATAGAGTAGAAAGGCATAAAATTCATGTACAATTAAATAAGCCTCCTTGGAAATGAAACTATTTTCCCGGATTTAAATCGCGATTAGTTTTTTTAAACAAACCAACGTTTCAGGCCCAAAGTTTGATTTACAGGTGTCATGTTCACGGTTGACTGAGGTGGTAAAGTCACCAACCAGTTATGTCAAACATTAATGCAAACCACCTTATTTTTCACTATAGTTACAAAAGTTATTAGTTAAATACCTTATTTTTTAATTTTACAAGGAACATTCCAATTTTCGCTACGCCTTGCTAATATTTAACAATATGATTTTTTTAAATTAAATTTGTTATTAATTAATAATGGAAATTAGAATAATTTATAACATATTAATTAGTACTGCAATTTGTGTCTGTTTGGGATTTTTCATCAAAGGTTGGTTTGTTTGAAAATGGTTTGATAAAAAAATAGTTTCTATGTGCAACAATCGCGAAAACCTAAGAACTAATTCGTCCTTGGTTGCTATAGTAAATGAAATATTTTTAATTACAGTCGTCCCAGAAGACCAAGGCCTCGTGGACAGGGTAGACCTGGCAAGCGAAGGCCGTACGATTTTGAGGAAGACAGGTAATTATATCTCAATCTTCGTTTACTCTTCAATCCGCTCAGATAAAAAAATATTCTACTCGTTATTGAACCCAGTTGTCTTCAGAGAAACTATTTCTGCTTAATACCAGCATTCTAAAAAAAATAAATTCGTTTATGTATTTTGAAAATTGACAATATTTAAGTCGTATATGTAATCCTAGATATGAATCGCGTCCTCGCCAACGCGACGAAATGGACGATGACTACGAAGAAGATCGCCGTTACGATGAACGTCGCCTACGGCCAGCGAAAAGACCTTACGACCAACGACGACCTTACGACGATGAGGAGCGACGACCTGGACCCAGAGCAGGAAGTAGACGACCCAGACCACGTGACGAGGAACGATATCGTGATGATGATAGACGTAACGGACAGAGAGATCAGAAACGTGACGACGGTAAACTAAATGAGGGTAGAGATAGATTAAGAGACGAATTGAGACCTGCGAGAGACGAAATAAGACAGCAAGATGAAATCAGACCTCGTGATGAAGTGAGATCAAGAGATGAAGTAAGAGCGAGAGATGAAATTAGACCTCGTGATGAGATAAGACCAAGGGATGAAATTAGATCTCGCGATGAAATCAGACCGAGAGATGATTTAAGGCCGAAGGACGAAATTAGACCACGAGATGAAATACGATCACGGGATGAAGTTAGAGCTCGTGATGAAATCAAGCCACGCGATGATCCTATTATTAGACCACGAGACGAGATTAGGTCTCGTGATGAAAGGCCACCAGAAGTCCGTCCTACAGACAAAAGACCCAGAGACGAATTTCGACCTCGGGACGAAAGACACGATCAAACCAGACTTCGTGATGGACCCAGACCAAGAGATGAAGATAAAAGACCTAGAGACGATAGGTACAATACAGAAGGCAGAAGATATAGAGAAGATCGTGATAGACCTTATAGAAACAGGGATGAGAAACCTGAACGACTATTAAGAGATGATGACAGGGATGAGAAGCCAGAAAGAAGACCACCAACAGCTCCAGAAGGTCAAACTTTGGTGAAACCACACGGATTTGGTATTTTCAGTCAGCCCAGAATGCCACCTAAAATCAAAAGGCCAGTTCCAGCTAATGAAAAAGAAAAATATGAATACGTAACTGTTACTACTACCAAAGCACCTCCTAAAATAAATCCTGATGAAGAGTATTATGATGATTATGAAGTAGAAGATAATCGAAGACCCTCTTCTTCTGGCAAAACAAGTATTGTTCAAAGACCTAGATCCGAACCCATAGAGAAAGAAAAGTTTAAACCTTCTAGACCACATTTCACAAGTCCAGCTGCTAATAAAAATAAACCAGTTAAACCTGAGTATGAGTATGAATATTCCTATGAACCTCCAAAAATTCAGAAATATCAAAGGAATAGAGATGAACGTCAAAATATTCCAAATCAAAAACCATCGATAAAAGGTGGTGATGATTATTATTACGACGAGGAAGAAAGAAAGGAAGAAACACCAAAAGTTGTCGAAGAAGATGTAACATATAGGATAAAGGATTTGAAGCCTAATGTAAGAGTAGTCAAACGTCCTTTTTTACCATCTAGGGGTGGTAGTCCTTACTTGCCAAGAGGATTGCAGCCCGTAGCTGGGAGAAACTTATCTACTCTCCCTCATACCACCCCTAAACCTACCACCACCACGACTACTACTACCACTACTACTACAACAACCCCATCTCCTGTTCCTTCTACTACAACAAAACCAACAACTTATAAACCAACAACTACGTTTATAACTGAGAAAACAACAACAACAACAGATGATATATTTACAACACCAGCTGAAGAATATGAAGAATATTACGACGAAGATGAAGATGATGACGATAAGCACAAACCGTTAACGACGACTATCGAATCTGAAACTCAAACTTTTGAAAATGAAAGACCATCTACAACACATGAACCGGAAGAAAAACCTACGACATCTTTTGAACCTGTAGCTACTGAGAAAGACATTAACGAATCATACAAATCACAACAACTGAACAACAATCAAAACACCGAAAGCAATAATAAAAAACCAGCACTAAAAGAAACTAATCAAGCAGAACTTTTAGCGTCTAAAGTATTAAACTCTTATAACGACCAATACGAAGCTATTCAAAAACAACTAGAGGGTAGTTTAAACCCTACAGAATATTTGAAACAATTCTATCCCGATGGATTTATTGGTAAATCGAAACAATCATACCAGGCGGAAGTACCTTTTAAACCGATACCGAAGTTTCCAGAGCTAGAAAAAGACAAACCAGATTTCAAAACAGACTTTAAATCAAAAGAAACGTACTCAAACGTTAAGGTAGAACCCGCTAAAGCGCCAGAATACAAACCCAAAGACTATGCATATTACAAAACAAAAATAGAAGAACAAGCTTACAAACCAATTGCGAAGCCCGTTCCAAAACCAGATGTTTCAAAACCTTATACTGCGACAGGGAAACCTGTGATTCCAGATGATTCTATAAAACAGAACCTTGCTGATTCTGTTGAAACTGAATATGATGTCCGATTAAATGAAGCGCTGGCCCCTAGCGTGCCCCCAACTGTAAATATTAGGACGCCGAGTGGTTTCGTTATACCATCAGAGAGAGATTATACCTTCTCTAGATTTAGAAGTAACTTCTACAGTGAGCCACAATATGCTGCGTCGGAATTATTACCTTTCCAGGTGAGAAAAAGACCACAGGTGCAAGGTGTAACAATACGTACTCCGTCGTCATATTTCTTGCATCCGCAAAGGCTGTACGACGACGGCAGAACACAGAGGCAATTAGTTTATAGACATACAGGAGATTTTTTGAATTTCTAAATTAAAATGGTGACGTCATTTTGTATAGAAGAGAATTTGGACACGGAAGACAAAATACATATTAATTTGTTTTATATCCATCAAAGTGATTGTACTGTTTTTGAGAATTACAACGGATTTAAAAACGGAAGCATAATAAACCACCTTCGACGTGTTGAAAGATTCCAAAGAACGAATTGAATTTTGAAGTGTCAATTCTATTGTTACCGTCCGTGCTCGAGTTTTCTTACATGCAAATCCAGCCTAAACTAAATTGTGATTCTGGTAACCTTTGGGAGATCGAATATTGTATTAAAAACCTACTAGGTTTTAGAATTGGTCCCCGTAAAGTGGGTTCACAGAACTTTTATTCGCAGTAACTTATTTAATTTATTACTTTTCGTATTTAAATGTTAATTAAAAATTATTATTTTGGAACAATACAAGTAACAAGTAAAAATTTCAATTAATTTGATAATTTTAATGCAAAGTATTATTCAAAAACGGGGCTAAAATTGCTAAATAGGGGGACCTTATTCTATTTTTAGTAAATCTATAGGTTTTTTAAAATAAATAATACTACAGGTTTTTAGTAAACAAATAAAAAAATTACTACAGTAATTAAGTCATAATAATTTATTTTTAAGATGGATAATACTTCAAAATCTATTACCACTGCCAACTCTTTTATATAATAGAATATGAAATATATTTTTTAAGAATCGAAATACTCTAAGTTACCTTATTTTTAAGAATAAATTGTATAAAAAGAAATTGAAAAAAAAAACTATTTTTCAAAGGTTACCCTTCGTGCACTGATAATTTGTAAATTGGATCAAAATATTATAATTATATATTTGTTGTAAAATAATCAATATAAATTGTAATTATAATTTAAAAAAATAATTTTAAGTTACGTTTAGTAAAGAAATAAAAAAATGAAAATTGCATGCGTGTTTTATTTTGAACAAAAATAAAATTACATAAAGTTTAAAATTTACTAAACGTTTTATTCGTTCACTTCATATAGATTTTGTTTGCTCTGTCGCACGAAACAAAGTATTTTTGACAAGAAAATTAATTCTCTAATAAGTGACTAAACATTACTCTATTTTTATTATTAGCTACTCCTTCTCCTTCCTTCCTTCATAAAATATTGGTTGGTGTCAATCCCGTTACGTTTAGTTCTAAAACTACTGACTCTTACATGAGAATTATCGGTAATCTGGTACAGGTGCAATTTGGTAAGCAGCGCGGTAGACTTTTAATATAAACCAGAAATAAGATCGGTCTAAGGATCGATCCCTGTGGTACTCCAACACTGTTACACCTGAGTATATAGCCTATTCTATTCATTGTTACATATTGTGTACGATATGTTTAAAATATACGACCATATTAGTTCAGTTCCATAGAAACAGTAATATTCCAGTTTATTCAACAGTATGTTATGTCTTAAATAAGCGAAAGCCTTCGATGAATCACAAAATATGCTTGCGAACCATACAAAGCTTTCAATGTACAGTGCAATAAACTATATCAATAAAAATATTTCTGATCATCATTTATTTTATTAGCACACCACGAAAAATTGTAGAACGATACCAGCGTGACTGCAAGGCATACACAACATTTATAGATGTTTTCATTAGTTCTGTATTTTTCCTCCATATTCCTCATGTTTATGTATAACTTCTTAATTCTATGATGCAAAATTCTCATTTTCAAATTTAACATTCCCTTTAAGCAGTAAATCACCGTTCTTTTCCGGAATTTCATCGTTGTTCTCCATTACTCTTTGTATAAGTCGGTTTATGGGGAAGTGAATAAAATAGAAAATGAATGAAGAAGCCCAGATGCCCATTTGGAACAGACAAACTTGCCACCAGGTCATGACTCCAAAGATTTTGTATAACCATCGATGTGCAAAGAAGTAAATGGAATAGTACCTGTAATGAAAAAGCAAGTAAGCGACGGAAAGTTTAAGTTATTTGCAACAAACTTAATAAAGTATTATGTGTTAGAGTCATTAAAAATGAGCATCAGATTACAGCTTCACTGCTGGTATCTTCTAATTTATTTCATCGATTCTTTCTAATGATCTCTGAAACAAGATCAAGTCAAACGTGTTTATAAGAGAGTCCCGAGCAAACACGGCATAGATTCTGTCCGTCTAACCGAGATTTTTATTCGTTCTGATAGTAAGTGACAATGTAGTCGAATACATAAATTAACGTTAAGTTACGGAAGCTAAAGGGAATTCCTTACTCTCTGGTTTAATATAATAGCATACTTACACAATAGCATATAGAATTCCAAGGCAGCCATTCAAAATCAGTTCCAATCTCTTATTAGTAGGTTCTCTTCTCTCCTGAAGGAAGGTCTCAGCGGCAACCAGGATCAGTATGTTGGTATGTACGCAATGGTTAAACCACCATGGGACCACGTCGTCATAGACACGCGGAAAGATCAACTCGCGGTCGATAAAGTAAAGACTCCAGAATATTCCAAAGACAAACTGTAGGAATGAAAAGAACAATATGATGTATTTATCTAAAAATAGTTTCATAAATGTGCCGAGCATGGATTATTCGAAAGGAACCGTTTCGCCTACAGTCCTAAGCGTTTCTTCGACGTGTAAGTTTAATGATGTTTTCGCTTACCGCTTATACACGTGAATCGGTAAACTGCACAAACTTCGAAAACAGTCAGTGGTGTTGGTCTGATGGAATTAGAGCTCAAGGTCTTTAGAATCGAGATCAGCATATTCCATTACTAGTTCTAAGATCAGGTAGAGTAGTGATAGCTGTAATTTCCTTAATATACAGCTGAATAAAACTTTAGACAGAGACTCTGATGCATTGAGACTGGTAATAATGCAGATAATACTGAATTTGATTAGTTCTGTTTCAAGACACAGTTAAACCGGAAATTAGTAAATCGTCGGGGATAGCGCAAACCTAACTAGCATTGGATAATTAATTCTGCATATCTGGCAAATGTAGCCAATTTGAATATTTCCGTCACTGCCACTGCACGTAGTAATTTGATTGGAATCTGCCTTTTTAACGCTTGTTGCGATTGGGCAACAGAAAGCCTGAAATCAGCCAATAATAACACCGTGGATCTGTTAAAGTGGATCTGTCGTCAGGTGCAGAGGTAGGCAGTGGAGTATCCGATTGTAAGCTATGCCAAAGAGAAGTATTTGGGGAAAAAATGCGAAACAATCACACCAAATTTCTGGTCACAAATTTCCTGTACTATGAATATCAGAATAACTGCATCTCTGATGACAATACTCAGAACGCCCAGACCAGAACCAACTTAGATATGTTCGTTTCCTAAATTGGCCCAAATCGGGAATCGAACCTGAAACCTCTTCATCAAGCGCTCATAGTACCTACTAACCGCTGTGCCACTGAAGAGCATAAGCATACACCGTAATCTGAACCCGACCACACGCCGCAGGCCGAGCCTGACCCCACCGTAGGTGGAGTACAGGGCTCGTTTTAAACATAGACATAGTGTCGAGGTATGCAGCACGCTTGTTTAACCTTAAAATGGTACTCACACAAGTACAAGGTACCACAAGTCCATTGTAGATGACGTCACGCCAGTAACGCACCCTGACGCCGAGTGAGGTATGTTCTTTATCTGCCCATTGCAACAAGTCGTGGCCAGATGCCAGGAACAGGTACACTGATTGTATTACCTGAAACAGATAACTATCTAGATTAAGCTAAGTAGCTAAGAGTGAATTTACCAGGCTACTTCTAGGCGGAAACCTGGTTACTTTGCTAATTTTTCTTTTCTATTCCTTATTTTTCGCCATCTTAATTTTCTCTTTGATACCATAGAGGTTTATCAGAAACGTAACAAGTCGAGGCCTGCAATTTCTGTAGTATATCTACACTACGCATGAGTCAATAATAAGGGGTGTCTGGCAAAACCCAATAACTTGTGAATTTTCGTGAAATGAGACATTTAAATCACTATATTGTACTTTTCATGGACTTTTCCATGGTACAGGGCTTGTAACAAAATTTCTGTTATTTATTTATAAATAATTATATTATCTAATTGGATTCCACAATAGAAAATCCAGCGTACGCTATAATGAATTAGATAACTAATTTTATTGATTTTTACCCTTACCATTATCAAATTGTAGTTGCATCGCTGCAATCGGCAACATTCGACCTTGTTTATTTTAGTTTTTTAGTGTTTGTTTGGTTATGCGTATTTAAAATGCCTCCGCCGATTGAGAATTAACTGCTGTGAAATAACCTACCTACTACTATAATCTGGCCGATTTGCGAAGGACTACTTTGGCAGCAGATAGATGTGACAAGCTGAGAATCGGGAGAAATGGCGCGCATTGAGAGAGGCCTACGTCCAGCAGTGGACTGCAATAGGCTAATGATGATGATGTGAAATGCGCGCTGTGATTCGTTTTCTTACTGTTAATGGCGATTGAAGTTCTACGTCAAATCTGTGAAGTATATGGACAGCTAAATATTTCTACATAAGTTTTGTTTTTTTTTAAACATCAAGTGATGGGACGAACATAACAGTTGCAGTGTCACTCAGAGCTTTAGAAGAGCAAAGATCTGAGGGGGCGCTACCACTGCGCCCGTCACCCTGAGACATAAATTGACAAGTCCCATGTGCCTGTAATTTCACCAACACCCTTATCCTTCAAAACCGGAACACAGTAATGCTGACATTACTGCTTGACGGCAGAAATGGGTAAGATGGCAGTACAACCCTGGACGAACCCTTTCACAAGGAGCTCTACTGGTACTATTTTATTGTTTATAGTGACCTTTTCAACCTCTTGGTTATGCAAGGGCACTATAACGTGTGCAAGCAAACCCGCACAGGGGCCATGTAAATCAGATCCCCAGACCCCAGATCACCCGGTTGTCAAAAGGCTAGTGCTTTAGGTGAGCCATTTCGGGTATTTTCCAGATAGGTACCGAATCTGTAGACACGGAAGTATATGGACAAAATATGAGCGATGGAGTGGTACGGAAATGGCAGCCAGAATGTTCATGACGAGGAACAAATTGGGTGACTTTTTGTTATTACTGAAGATTTGGTGCAGAAAGTTGATGAAATTGATACCTTCATCACCCTCCGAACCCGATTAAGCGCCTAGTAACTAAAACGTGTTCTTGCAATTGAAGAATCATTTTGGTAGTCAGCGCTACGAAGACGATGATGGTGTTAAAACGACCGTGTTGCGTTGGTTGTGAAATTAGGCGTCTGACTTCTATGACGACGGGATTCAAAAGCTGGTTGTAATGCCTTAATATTGGTGGAAATTATGTAGAAATAGATTAAAGTACAGACTTGCATGTAATACTTAATTCTAATATGAAATTCATTGACTAACACGATGTTTTACTGCCATATTCAATTGGTTTTTTTTTTGTGAAATTACTCCACTAATTTGTTATAATTATTAATACAAAGATCGAATAAAGAAAAATTAATTCGATATTGCTGAATTCAAGCCAGCGTCTTGAGCATACCAGGCCGACGCTCTCCCAACTAAGCTTTAGAACCAACCAGCAGACCCAACGTAGCGATATCTTTGAGAAATCTATGAAAGTTTTTCTTCACTGAGCCAGGTACTTTATGTTAATGAAGGTTCTTAACAATTTTTTTTAAAGGTTTATGACCAGACCTTTAGGCAAATAAATTGTAGTATAAAGTTAATTGACTCACGGTGTTTTATACATATATGACATTAAATTACTTTTTTGGGAAATTACTCCACTAGTTTGTTATAATTATATTAAAATAAACTATTAAAATTGTTTCGAATTGTTGACTCGTCTTTAACACGCTTTCTGAAATGAATTAAAACCATCCCATTTTTGGATGTTGGTTACTAAATATCAGTCATATACAGGACAAATATTTATCTATAGTTGAAAGGGCTATCAAGTCATGTTCTTGCCACATGTAATAAAGAGGTCACACGTGACATTATCTTACGAAGGTTTATTTGGGTTGTATGAGGGCCCTGATTAAATATTGATAGGAACACACCATTGCTCGCTAGGAACGTTTTGACTTTGCCACTGTTAGCGTGTCCGCTATACTCGAGCCACGCGGCATGTCGCGAACAGATGGCAAACGCCTGAACGGAATGACTCTCATCCCTTGGAGTATGGGCTAGGCACTGGTGTGGGACACATGTGCCGACACACTTGCCCCATCCTATCTCCAGCACACCAGCAAGAAGGCTAGCTCCGCAGCTGAGCAGGCGGAAAGAATAAAAAGTAATAAGTACCCGGATCTCAGCTTCGACTACCTATTTACAGCCTTTGAAGTCAAAACCCATGGCCCGTGGGGTCCCAGTGCCTTTCTTCTGTACAAAATTTTATCTAAAAAATTAATAGACTATCTGGGAAACCCTGCCCAACGCTTTAACATAGCAATACAAAGGGGGAACGCTGCCAGCATCTTGGACACCTTGCCGCGGGGACTCACGTATTAAAGGCGGTAAATAAGGAATTACGAGTGAGACCGCCCGTGAATCATACAATGTTTTTCGCCACATTTGCGAGTTATACTATGATTGCATGCAGGCTAACTTGACTATTTTGCCCCAAATAAGACCCTCAGGCCATTGACTTACAAATAAATGGACGACGGGTCTAATACAAAAACCACGAAAAAAATGTCCCAAGTCAACCTATTTAAAGGTAATAATAATAATAATAATAATAAAGTTTATTTTTCTTCCACAAAATATAGCTAAAGATTAGTTCACAAGTTTAATTTTTAAGAACAATAATTTTGTGGGAGACTGATGCCTAAACTAAGCATAAAAATGCCTGTGCGTCAGGCCACCAGGTTCCCACCTCTCAGTAATACAAGTACAAGAAAGAAAATATTACAAGGTGTAAAATACGCTATAATCACCAATTAAGAATATTTATGTCGCTTCTCAATCCACAGAGTCTCAGAACAACTAATTAGTTACGTGTACAGTATTTTTTGTAGGTGTAACATTGTAAGGTAGTGACATGTAAAGGAATATGAAAAAGCTAAAACGTTGAATTTAAATTGTAATGTCATCGCAGTACTGTCTAATTTTGCTTGCTTCGCTGTCAGTCGAACAAACGAAGACTAAAGCGTGAATGACGCTCAGTATACGATTCTAACGCCCTATAAGTTCGGACACTTTTTAGCGCGGACCCGACGTCCATATAATTGTAAGTCAATGCCTCAGGCCTTTTTTTTCTCATTACAAGGCTATAATGAGTGTGATGAAAATATTTTTATATGATACCAAGTAATTGGACGAAGAAGTTGTGTGCCTGTTGGTAAGCGATATACCTGTCCATAGCAGTTGTAGTGTCACTCATAGCCTTAAATCGTAAAGATTCGAAGGGCTTTGCCACTGTGCCCGTCACCTTGACGCATAAGTTGTTAAATCCCATGTGACTGTAATTTCACCAGCACCCTTACCATTATAAATGTGTATAAGCGAAAGCGCCATTTCGAAAAATTTCTCAAGCAATCATATTTTAACTTTTCACGACTGTTTTACATGAACAAAATTTCTAAATGGCGTTTTCGCCTTCTCTACGAAACACCGACGAAATGTTTTACGACAAATACGTCAGAAGTCTCTTACTATGAGCCTCATAAAAACCTCAAAGTCACTCAACGAGCTATGGAGCGAGCAAAGCTCGGCATTTCTCTACGTGATCGAATCAGAAATGAGGATATCCGTGGAAGAACGAAATATCACCGACATATCTAGAAAGATTAGCAAGTTGAATTGGCAGTGAGAACTATGGGCCTATGTTCAGCAGAGGACGTCTTTCGGCTGATATCATGATGATGATGATGACGTCAGAAGTTATTTGATGACATGAAATAAGTATTTTTTTATGATGCCAAGTAATGGACTAGTACGCCTGGTGGTAAGCCACACGCCTATCTATAGCAGTTGTAATGCCACTCAAAGCCTTAAATCGCAATAATCTGTGGATCACTGCCCCTGCGCGCGTAACTTTGAAACATAACTTGACAAGTCCCATGTGCGTGAACCGAACCGGAACGCTGTAATCACATTACTGCTTGGCGGCAGAAATAGGTAGGTAGCAGTACTTCTCTATACGGATTTGTTCACAATGAGCTCTTCTGCTTCTAAAGTCAATTATCAACCTACCCCATTAAGGAGCACAAGTGATAGTATTGTTTTGCTATACAATCGTTGAAAAGGCACCCAATGTGATCAGAGGTTATTGACACGGCAAAGTATAGATGGACACGCAGACTGATTCAATCACGTGTGTTGATAATGATATTAGAGAACTAGACGACCCTATTTATTTTAATAGCTGCGATAGTATATTTGGGTCATTTTATTGAATAAAGGACGAATAAAATCTTAGAAAAAACCCTGACACGAGAAAGCATACTTTAAAAATTTAAAAATAATTATTATTATCTGGTAATTGAAATTCAAACGGCTTTTGATATTGAAAGCCGTAAAGCCAAGTAAACCAAATAGGGAGATAAACTAGTTCAAATTCATAGGTAAGCATTATTACACTTGAAATCGTCACAATGGTTAAACTCTACCGCTCATTCGTAAGGCAGATTCCCCTGAGAAGAATGAGCAAGAAACTCTAGGGGTTGCTCTTTAACATTTACAATATTTATTTATTTTTATTTGAAACATCAGAGATCGAGACCACCTCCATGAGCTAAACGGGTTACTACCACGGATTTTTGTCATCCAAGTACGCAGAAGTTGTATAAAGTTTTTGTTTCACTATAGTTTTAAACCTCGTGAAAGGCAAATTTTGTATATCAACCGGAATCTTGTTATAGAAGCGTATACATTGCCCCTTAAATGATTTTTTGACTTTGTGAAGACGACTATCAAGAAAAGCTAGTTTATTTCTATTCCTCGTATTAATGTTATGTCTGTCACTATTTTTCATAAAGAAATTACTATTCCTTTTAACATAAATTACATTTTCATAAATGTACTGTGAGGCTTGTGTAAGAAAGTTAATTTCATTAAACTTATCTCTCAAAAATACTTTGGAGCCCAGATTGTAAATTGCCCTTACTGCACGTTTCTGCAGGACAAAGATTCTATTGATATCGGCGGCATTACCCCAAAGCAAAATGCCGTATGTCATTAGACTGTGAAAGTAGCAACTAGCGAACTTAAAATACACAGATTAGGTAGGTAAAAGCTTAACTTTTCAACAATCGGTTACCGGAAAGTGCGTTAAACAGGACTCATCGCCTAGTTTGCTACCCTCAGAGATAGATATTTTCTATAAATTTAAGTGGGACTAATACTGGTACACACAAGAGTACAAAACTTCGAAAACATTAACAACAGGCCTCATCTACAAATTCATGGTAGCTCAGCGTGCGATGGAGCGAGCTATGCTTGGGGTTTCTCTGATGGACCGAATCCGTAACGAGGTCACACGTCAGAGGACTAAAGTGACCGACATTGCTCGCAAAATCAGTAAGCTTAAGTGCCAGTGGGCCGGGCATGTCTGCAAGAGGATTGACCGCCGATGGAGCAGACTTGTTCTGGAGTGGCGATCACGTTAAGGAAAACGTAGTGCAGAGACGCCCTGCGGTAAGATAGACGGACGACCTGAGCAAGGTGGTCGGCAGCGGTTGGATGCGGGCGGCACAAGATCGGGAGAGTTGGCGTGCTCAAGGGGAGGTTTTTGTCCAGCAGTGGATGCGTATAAACTGATGAAAAAGAATCATCAAAATCGGTTCACAAAGGCCAATTTAATATCAAACGGAAGAATATGAAACGCGATGTTGCCAATGTTTCGGACGATATGAGTGAAAGAGTGGCGGAAAATTGGTTCCAAAGAATTGAACGCTGCAAACGTGCTCACGGTGGTCATATGAACGAGATCGAATTCCATTCTTAAATGTACCATGTGTACTGCTATTGGAATATATTTCATATAGTTCTGCGTTTTATTGAAATACAAAATTGTTACGTCCTTATTGGAAAACTCCGAACATTTTTGGGATTGGGACGGTATCATCTTTACTGATAGTAATTTACGTAATAATTTTGAAAAGTTCATGAAAATGGTGTCACGGATCCGTGCTGACAAAGTCGCCCTTCTGTACTGCTTTAGATACGACTTTTGACTCACAGCTTTTGAATTTCAATTCAATTCAAATATTTTTATTCAAGTAACTTAGTAGTAAAATTTAATTACACATTTTAGGGCATGAAGCCCACGCCAGTTTGTAAATGTAGGGGCAGTTAATCCTGTGGTGTCGCATTGAGAGCGGAGTTGGGGCTAGCACGCACGCGACGCACCAGAGACGCACACCTCATCAACACCCGGAAGACGTTATTATATTGTGTCCGCAGGGATCTGTAAGCCCCTTTCGTGTAGTCTCGCCACAAGCTGCACGTGTACAGGGAGGCAGAGAACGTTTTGAAGAGCGTCACCTTTACCCTACCGTCCCTTTCCATATCACTATTATATTTCACATTCAGACAGCTCATTTCGATCCATTTTTATTTAACCGACTTCAAAAAGGAGGAGGTTCTCAATTCGATTGCATTTTTTTTATATGTATGTTGTGGGATAACCGATTTTGATGATTCACTCACTTTCCGTAAACCGGTTTCAATAACACCTGGCAATTAGATGGGATTCCACAAACTTATAAGATCTTTTTTTTATTTTTATTGAATTGTTATTCAATTATTTTTTTCGTGAAATTACTGAACTAGGTTCTTACAATTGTTAGTACAAAGATCGAACACAGAAAAACTTCCTTCGATCTGGCCGGATTCGAACCGACGTCTTCTAGCATATAATTGTAATTATTTAATTAGAGTACTTACAAAGTTCCAGCCAGTCAAGTAGGCAAAACGAAATGTGTACAAGGTTCGCAGCTTATCTTCATCACTGTTTTTTAAATACTGCTCTAAGCCACCGGTATAAGAACCTACATAAGCATGATGGTATATGAAGATGGTATGCAAAACTGTTCTCCAGTACAACTTTGCATCACTACGATCGAATAGCTTTTCATTTTCTGTTATTAAAAAACATAAAATGTTATAAAATATATTATTTCCTTTAAAAATAATTTCCATTTTTATATAATAAAAAAAATAATTTACAAATCATAAATATTTTAGAAAATACTTTAAAAAATTCACTCGATTGTATTTTTTGCAAAATTAGATTATATAATTTAAAACTTATAATTAACTAAAGTAATTAAACACCCAATGGTTAGGGCGATATTGATTACTTGTATCACAGAACGGCAGACTGCATTATTTTAAAATAATTTCGTGTTGCCAGTTTCGGTTTACAAATTACCCAAAGAGATATTAATTTTATTCATAATTAGCAGGTCGACTAGCTACTCTACTATTCTAATTATCATACTTCTATTCGTAGCAGTAGAGGTCCTTGTCAGTTCCTCCAGGGAAATACTGCCACCTTACCTATTTCTTCCACCAAAATGTGAGCATCGCGAGCTTCCCAGTGTATGCTATCGATATAACAGGGTAAGAAGAATGCGAACTACTTAATTTTTTTTATTTTAATACTTATTCATTGCGGCCATTTTAAAAATGGCGGACAGGAGCTAAGGCTTAAGAATCTATACAACACTTTGGAAAAAATATATAGTAAAATTGATATAGGTACACTGATTACCATACGGTTTGAAAACACGATTCCTGGCAATTTTCACAATAGAAAAAAAAGCACAAACTTATCTCTTAATATTACAAAAAAACCGCTATATTTAATAGGTATTAAAGAGTGGTTGCGACAAAGTGGAGACTTTTAGCAGAGATGCAAACGCGCGATTGTATGGATGCTAAATATCGTCATGTGTAACCGCTCTTACATGTACAAATGATTTCTTTTTAATCAACTGTACTAAATAGAATGCGTATAGTACACGATATACATTTTTCAAATAGCTTTAATTTCTTAAAAATAAATTCTGAAATAAAGACAGCGTCCTTGCTGCTCGACTCAAAGAAAATGAACCGTATACGTTGTATGCATAAATACTTAGCTCTGCTAGCCCTTTTCCACCAGAGCTGAGCTAAGCGAGGTTTGGAAAATGAAGTAATCCTATTGGTGGATTTTTTCCTCGCACAGTGTCCCGCCACGTGGCACATCTGTGGTGGAAAGGCAGCCTTAGTACAGGAAAAACTTGAATTCGAGCTGAGGTATTAATTAATTAATACTAATTATCTCCCAAAATATCGGGTAAACTAAACGTGTCTTCCGCTAGGAATTCTGATAAAGACGAGTTTTGTAAACACATTATCTCAACTATGCATGTTAATAGATAACATTGAACAATTAGTTTTAATTGACAATTGGAGATGCACAGAGTGTAACACAAACTTCATAAAAATGGAAGTGAATTAATTTGCTACTAGGGCAGGGGTTAAATTGCACAAAATACTGCACTTGTATTGAACACTTTGCACGATTTAACGCAAGTCACAGATGAAGTGGGAAAAATTGTTTTACTAGATCAAATGTTGTAGGTATTTACTATTGAATAACGATCTCACAAAAAATATAAGTACGATTTTTCATATGAGTGCCGTAAAAATCTAAATAATGCCTAATCACTCCAATAATCACTCCAAAGGTCCAAGTTATAATGTCCAGGGAACTAGTCTGCAAGCAGGGAATTCCACTCCATAGCCGTTCGCCGTATAAAAACACGGAAGAAATATAGAAATATAGGATATAGAAACGCTTCGTGCGGATCTATGGAGTATCCACAACACAGGGGTGGAACCTAACCTACGCCTAGTCCCACGGTGATGGAAAAGGGAAGGCGGAATTAAATTGTGTAATTCCGTCGCACACTCTTCCTGATATATCCTATGGCAGGCAATTTTACGGCGGTGTTCAAGGCTCTACTAATTCCGAAGCCTCTTGCCACGCTTGTCAATTGAATCCAAGGCGGCCAGTTGGTATCAGAGCCACCCAAAAGTGGCAACAGTATTCCATGTATTCCAGTACTTTAAGAATGTGTTACATGATAGGATGTACTTTATCCGATCATATAAAGTCTTGAACACAGCATAAAACGAATTATTTCAGAATAAAATATCTTACTTTGCACATAAGTTTTGTATGGAGTATTTCTCTTTAAGTAGGTGAGAGCGGAAATGTTCCTGTTTTCAAATAACTTGAAGTTTTATACTGAAAATGAAGGATTTGATACAACATGTGGAAATATTGAACAAATGTTTATCGCTTTTTGTAGTATTATAAAGTTACTTCCACTAATATCTCAATGGGTTTTTTACAGAGTCAAATTTTTGACAAATTTCGGAGCGGCACATCTAGTCCGCCTTTGGGGCAAATTGTTCCACTCAGATTATGACAGGATAACAAAGATTTTATTAAAAGAAAAAACCTTTTATATGACTGTATATATGTAATATTTATGCTATGCACAAGTGCACAACTAAACTTTAAAACTTAAACTACATTCTTGTTCATCAGTAATATTATTTCATCGCTCATTTCGTCATCTGAGTCACAGTTGAGACACACATAAATGACTCTAATTCTCTTTGTCTAAATATTTGACACGAGAATGTTTGTACGCGTATTACTAAGGTACCAACAAAAGAAAGAATCATCAAAATCCGTTCACAAATGCGTAACAAACACTCAAAAATACAGGCGAACTTAAAATTAAAATACCGTATTCTACAAGTAAAAGAGTTGGCTGTGATAGTGGTTCTTGAAGTATTTTCTATATTTTTAACCGACATCAAAAAAGGAGGAGGTTACAAAAAAAACACATACAGCCGAATTGAGTCGACTGTATGTGTTTTTTTTGTATGTATGTTACGCGATAACTCCGGTATTTGTGGACCGATTTTCATGATTCTTTTTTTGTTGGAAAGGGGGTACTTCCACAGAGGTCCCATTTCATTTTGAAGAAAATCATCCACCTTTAATGGTGGCTGTTCACGCATGAAGATTCATTTTTATAAATAGCGCCTAAATTTTACTTGAGGAGCAATTATTTTAATGGTTGATTTTGCTATTTCTCCAATTCAAGGCGTTTTTCTCTCAATATACTTTGAGTAGTGAGAACCGATTTTTATTATCTCCAGTGTCAAATCCTGTGTAGTGGTGAATTTAAGGATATTTCAATAAAACTTAGCAAATAGACGTAAATACACATACTTTTGAGGTCGTTTTTTTAGTACTCTGTACTGAGATTATAGTTATCCAAAAACCTGTAGTATTTTTTAATTTATAAAATAAACCTACGGCATTACATTTCGTAAATAAATAAATGGAATGAATTTGAAATGAAACCATTGTAATTTTATCATAACATTTATTTACAAAATATATTCACTGATTTTATATACAATTTTAGTTATACACGAAATTTAGTTATTTTACCAAGTAAATCAACTAATAATATTATAAGTTAATAATTACTATTCTATATCTAGTTTTAATTACCTGATTCCTTGAATGATTTTGATAACTTATAGAATATTGAATGATATCAATTCTGTTACGTTTAGTTCTAAACCTATTTTGGTAAATCTAGACTCAGCTTCTCAATGAGTAGTTACACTGCAATGTCGTCTCTGTCTACAAATAATATAACTCGTACTAGTAAAACTATAGTAGCAGTAGCACCGCCACATGCATTTATAACTGCCGCCAAGCAGTAATGTGGGCATTACTGCGTTCCGGCCTTGAAGGATAAGGGCGCTGGTGAATCTACAGGTTTTATCAACTTTATGTTTCAGGGTGACGAACGCAGTAACAGTGAACCCTCAAATATTTACAATTAAAGCTCTGAGCTTCACAAAGGCACAATATGTCCAAGAAAGCAGTAATTTGAGCATTACTGCGTTCCGGCCTTGAAGGGTAAAACTACTGGTGAAAATACAGGCACACGGGTCTTGTCAACTTCTATTGTATCTTAGTTATTTATGTCAAATAACTTCAGCTTTTTAGTACATGTATATTCTGAAGTCGGTCTGTTTAATTTTACACCCAATTGAAAAAGGATTTAGATTACAAGACGAGATAAACATTATGAATCAGTATTGTTATTTAAAAATCACAGTGGTAGCTGCAGAAATAGATGTTCTAGGGATACTAATCTAACCTAATTCGAATGCGGTGCTCCAACACAGTCCATACAGAAAATATTTATCTACAGATATTAATTTTATTACATTTATAGAAAAGTTAGCTTGAGAATACCACATACCGTATTTCGTTGGAAACCTCCAAGGAAAATAACCGAGGCCGAACCAGACGGCTGTAGGTGGAGTGTATTTAGGGCGCTATAGTAAGTCCTGTGCCTGTATTATTCTCTCTAAAATGGTATCTAAAGTTATCACGCGTTCCATACTTCACTACGATGGCAGCGGTCGTCGATTAGCATTTTAGAAGTACACAAGCTGGTACTTGAGACGTTGGTCAAGTTTGTTATAGAGTTTCGCTTACAAATTTGATCAGCCACACAAACAGATAGAAGTATTGCTTAGGTCAGCCCCATATCTTTCTACATTACTTTTGATTATATTGACCCTCACTACCGCCCTTAGGGTATACGAGAAGGGTACTATAAGTTCAGATTCTAAGTTCAGGTTCTGACCCCAGATCAGCAAGTGTACTGGATTGTCACAAACCATTGTCACTGACTTCATTCGGTTCTCAAAAAGCTAGTGCCCCGGGTGCACATACAGTATACTCCCTATTTTTTTTGATAGATACCGGAACTGTAGTCACGCTTACTTCCTATTGCGCATTACACAACTGACGGTTGCCACCGCTAAGCCATTGACTCTAAAATCCACTACCAAATCTCCTCTTTATTGACCTAGGTCTATGAATAGAAGACATAAAGATGAATCATATTATATTATATAAAAGTTGTTTTTTAATTAGAGAGACGCTGACTGCCAACCTCAATGCCGACGACAAATAGCAGCCAGTTTCGTTCCAGTGGATGGAGCATTCGATATTATTGTAATAACACAGGCAGAATACTCCATCATACAATTTTAAAACCAAAAATCATCGACAGGACAGAAGAAAAAGAACAGCTCCTATTGTGAAGACAAAAAAGACAGTAAATGGATATCTGGCTGCGAAAATTATATAATTTCAACAAAGCAAAAAAAAATCTTAGTAATTTACCGTATTCATTTATTTTTTTAAACTACAGTTCAAAATAACGACGACAAGATGCAGTATCGTCAACACATCTGTCTCATGGCAAGGAATTTGTAACCTCATCGTTGAAAAACCATCGGTTAACTTATTAATATAAAGATCATTACGAAAAACATTGAGACAAATTCCTTCGATCCGGATAGATTCGAACCATTTTCAATCATCTGCCAACGTAGCATGCCGCCGCGATAAAGATATTATACAAATTCGAGTGATATACACAAATTTTATCACAATTGCTAACATGGCGAGCACCTCACAATGCTCATCATATTTTACGTCATATTTTTGTCGCATGGCCGAAACGTCACAGCTGATTTTAAACCATTTTGACACTTCTTCACAGTAATTTTATCAACGTCAAAATTGAGCGCGACGAACGAAATAAACAGAAATAATAAAAGCAAACAAATTTATTTACATAAATTATTGGAAAATGTTAAGGAGAACGTTTTAATACATGAGAGTAATTAGAAATATGTAAATAATAATAATAATATAAAGCAAAATATTTAAAAACTGAAACTACATATTTTTTGGTTTCGTCGTTTTCGCGGCGATCATTAAATGACAAAGATAGCTATATACGTAATTTCATATCATTATCCCTTTGCTTCAAAGCGTATAACAATGGTTCATTACCAAATAAACGAAATAAATTCAAAAAATACGTTTCAATAAAAATATATATGTCACGAGAAGGTTTATCTAGGGTTTATCACATATTGCATGCCATGCTACGGCCACTGACAGGCATGGTATGCTGAAGGCGCTGGTTTGAATCCAGTCTTACTTCTTCTTAGTGTTCGATCTTTACATTAATAATAATTCTAACAAATTACTCGAATAGTAATTTCACAAAAAAATAATTGAATATCATGGTAATACAAATCATAGTGATATTGGACAAACTTAACATCGGTTGACTGCCACTTACTTTGATTATAAAAATATTACTAATATTACATGTACACTAACCACACCATTCTTACACAAAAGTTGATACCTTTACATGAAAATACTGTTTCAAATTGTACATAAATAAAACACATACCAACAAAGTTTTAGATTATCAGAATTGAGGAAGAAAGAAAATCAACCCAGTTAAATAACTTAACCGTATTCCCAAAACTAAGTTAAAGGCTAGAATTTTCGAATTGACTTCTTAAATTTCTATATTTCAAACTCCACGATCTTGTTGAGAATGGGGGTATGTTTAAATCTGTATTACTATGTGTAATTGTGAATATATTCTTCTGGTCTCCCTTTAAATCTACCCCGTTAGCTTTTCCATCTCTGTTATCTGGAACATCTGTTTTTGTAGCTTCTCCATTTTTTGCTTCATTTTTATGTGTCAATTCAACAGTTTTTGACAAAATATTCCCATTTTTAAATGTAACGTTTCCATTTTGCAAATCACCGTTTTTTTCTGGAATCTCATAACTGGTCTCCTGTACTCCATGTATAAGTCGGTTTATGGGGAAGTGAATGAAATAGAAAATAAACGAAGAACTCCAGATGCCCAGTTGGAACAGACAGATCTGCCACAAATTCATGACTCCAAAGACGTTGTACAACCATCGATGTGCGAAGAAGTAGATGGTATAGTACCTGTAATAAAAAATATTAAGGGAAATAAATAATAGATGTTACTATGGAAAATCTTAATTTTAAACTTTATAATCTCCCAAGATCCAGAAAACTACAATGGGCAAAGTGATTGAAAGCGAGCTTGCGAAAGAAGAAGTTCCGTGATCAGTGCTGACTATCAAGTATATAACCAGAAATAGAGACGAAATGTCATTTAATTTGTTTGAAAACTTGTCAAATCATTACGGTGACAACTGCGCTCCGATTGGCCAACCCGAATTCGAAACAATTGACGGGTGTCGTCAATTGTTTTCAATTCGCTGTAACGCACTTGAGCTTTGCTATAATGGACGAAAATTGAAAGAGTACATATTTAATATTTAATTACCGAGAAAATGTGATTCCGTTTGTTTTGTAATTACATGTTTTGCTGTTTTTCCCACACCACCGAATGGAATAGCCCCCATAGTTAGACATATTATCTTTATTACAATAAATACAGAATAGTTATGGAATATACGAAGACGCCAACAATGGCGTACACCAGGTCAGTTGTTGGCGCTGTACTATTCCAGCTTTATAATTTGTAATTTCAGCGCAAACGAGAGTCGATATTTAAAAGCGATACGAGTATAAGGCCCATTTGCCTGATCAGTTGCTAGAGATGGATGGCCTTTATTTCGTTTCTATTTCTGGTTATATACTCGATACACAAACCAGAACCAATTTAAAAAAGTTGATTTCCCAAATTAGTCCTACCGGGAATTGAACCCCGGGTTCTCCGCATCCAGAACCCACAACGCAAACCAATTAGATCACCGAGGTCGTCATGTGAAGAGATGTGAAACTACAATCACATGGAACTTAGTGTCTCAGGGTGAGAGGAGCAGTGGCAGTGTCCCTCAGAGCTTTGCGATTTAAAGCTCTGAGTGGTACTGGAACGGTTTTTTCATCCGGTCTCGTCAATGACAAAAACCAATAAATTACGAAACCAGTGTTATATTTCTTTGGCCCAGCAAGCAGCCACCTCAATGTCCCTATCTGTTGCCTTTAGCATGTCTTCGCGATTACAGCTGGTTGGATACAGCCCCCCGTACCTTTCTACATATTTTTTCATTATATTGACTCTCCCTACTGACCCTTAAAGTAAATGAGAAAAGCACTTTAACCTGTGCGTGCACAGGAACCTTCTAATTTCAGGTCCTGACCCCAGATCAGCCAGTGTACAGGATTGTCACAGACGTGTAACAGAACATACCTTCCACAAAATAAAATAAAAAATGAATTAGCGGAAATTCGATGAGTATAAATATAACAGTAATGAATTATTAGTGAAAGAAGTAGGTAAATTTTAAAATAACATCTAAATGTAAATAATCACATTCGAAGAATTTCAATAGCAAATGACTTCTTTGAATTCGTCTCAGTTCACACTTTTGAGCTGCAGGAAACACTTAACAAATAACGTATGCATTATCGGTTTTGCTGAATGTATTTTTGTTAGGGTTGCTAAATTTTGGTGACTAATGAAATTAAATTATTTAATAAAATATATAATAATACTAGTAAATTAAATGCATACTATCATTATTTATGCGAAAGTGTGTTTATGTATATATTACAGATAAACAATATGATAGAGTGAAGTTAGCTTTACTCAAAGGTGTATAATTTAGATTCGCAAAGCATAAAAAAAAAAAACATGATTCTATTTAGTTTTTATACAATGCCTTTTATTATTTATTAATATTTAGTAAAAGAACAACACATGCGAAAGATTCTGCTTGTTTCTGATGAAAATTTATTCCACCAGAACAAATACTACCTATTTTATTATTCCTCTTTTTATTAATAATGATCGAATTAGATATTTTATATATACGTATTGGGTTAATTGTCTATATTAATTATTATTCTATGAAAGCGTTCCACTGCTGAGTCTAGGGTACTCAATGAAACGTTACGGAGTTTTGCCAGCCCTAGAAATTCTCCTAGAAATCGCTTCTCTCCTAGAGAGCACTTCATGTATGATTTAATGATTGGGAACCAAGAAATTTGAAGGAAACACTTCATGCAGGATTTATTGATTTGGGACCGTGTGACCGGGGTGTTTCAAGAGTTTTTTGGAACATTCTAGAACATTCGGTGAGGAGACGAAGCGGGGAAGGAAGGTGTGATGCTAAGGGTACTGAAATCATGAGTTAGTGGGGCCCAAGTCGTGATCGACAGCACCTGAAAAATTGGAAGGCTGGGTCTCAAATCGCGGTTGATATTTCATTTAATTTTAGTAACAAAGAGAAGCTTGTGTGAAAATCTAAGTTTTAGTGTCGTTCGCGCTAATAGATAAAATCTAGTATAATAATTGTAGTTTAATTTAGGGTTTAAGTCGTTAGACCATTTAGGAGACGTCGCGTGTGAAATTTAAGGAATTGTTATTTTCGGGTGATTTAGCGAGAGATCGGGAGTGCGTGTCTAATAGTTTATTAGGGCATTCGTACTGAATTTGTTTATAAATAATCTAGTATTTAGGAAACGCCGCGAGTTAGTCTATATAGTGCTTATAATTGTAACAATAGGTAGACCATTGCTTTAGAGTGCGGGTTATATAGTGTTAAGACTCTAATTCGAATCTAGAAGTGATTTAGGTCTTCAGCCGTGTGTAAAATACTTTGTTAGGACATTAGTGTTCGTAAAGCGCGTGCGATAGGGTTAAGACCGTAATCGGAATCTAGAACAGATTTAGGCCTTCAGCTGTGTATATAATATTTTGTTAGGACATTAATAATATAGTTGTATAATAATATAGTACTCAGGAAGCGTCGCGTATTAATTTATATAATATTTACGTTTGATAGTTAGAGTCAGTGTCCGCGAGCGCGTGTGTGAGACAGTGTTAATATGACTTTAATTCAAGTCTGGAGCTGATATGGGTCTTCAGTTCCTGGTCTATGTTCCTGGCAGATTTCCTTGTAGGTGCAGCCTTCTAGATGTCTTGTAATAGGTGAGAGGTCACCTCTCAGGTATGTGATTTGTGTTTACTATGATAGGATACCTACTTATTTTGGGTATCTATCGTTGAGATTTGTTTACGTCATTTTTAACAGTTTTACGTCCGTTGTGTATCCTTTTGATACATTCTAATTATAATATTGCGAAACCTCATTCGACTGATATTCTTTTATTAGTTGAATGAACAGTTACCGAAAAATAACTTAAATTATCTAGCAAACACTAAACCTTGATTTTGTTTAACAATGAGATAAAATTGTACCTTATAACATTTTTATAGAGTATTTATATTGTTTTGAAATTATCAAATTATTTCATATATCTAACTTTGACCTTTTTTGTCACATTTTAATTATAATAATGGCAATTTGCTACGTTGAATTTATTATTTATTACTTCAGCTAAACTATAAAATATAGATTTCATTTAATTTAGTTTTATTCAATCAATTAATCTTAATGTAGAGTTCACAGTAGTTAGGACACCTGGAGTAATTGCAATTTTATTGATTACACGCACATTCTGAAGGTGTCCATACATTAAGCAATGTTGTTTTACTTAATTATAAGAAAAGGTAAACTGTGACAACTTGGTACAATATACTTGACCAATGTTATTGTACGGAGGGATAACAGTAGCGGTTTATTATATCCTTTTTCTTTGGGTATTATCGGTATTGGTTTAAGGTAACTAAGGTGAGGTAAAATTATTTATTAAAGATATATTAATACATAATATTGTGTATTTAATTTCATGTCCTTTCTGCTGAATTAGTGGACATCTGCAGAATGGAATTAGAAAACCAATGAAGTTTGATTGATTTGTTATCTTAGGCTGATATTTGGCATATTTATTACAAATTATAAAACTTTGTCTTGTCAAATTAAAAGCCTTTGTGGAAGATGATACTAAGTTATTTGCGATGATGTTGGATCACCTGTGTTCCTTCCATCGCCCTGTCAGATTTACGCCTTGATATCCATGTATATCTCGTTTATGTCTGATTAGCGTATTCCTAGAGCTAGCCGATAATTATTAGAAGTACCTACTACAATACACAGTGACAGTGTTCATGATCTTATATGGAAGGTCTTTCTATTTCCATAAAGATTTAGGACTTCGAGTGTATAAGTTGTTACTGAGATAATTAGCCGCGTGGTCGGATTGGTTGGTATTTAACTTAGGCTTCTGTAAGTTAATACTAGATTAACTTTCAGTGCTTGGTGAACACTAACCCAACTTAGATAAGTCTACTACCAAGGCTTATCGGATAGCGAAATTATATTTCAAATGCTGAATTATCACCTATGTGATTATGATATATATATTATTAATTGATAATTAAAATTAATTGATTTCTTCTCTACTTGCTGTACTCAAGGTGTGTAATAGGGATTCTTATTAGTAAAGACTAGGCAGGGTTATGAGGTGGGCCTATTCTTCTTCCTTACCTTTATCCTCTGTCTTCTTGTTTCTTTACTTATATAAACCATATGTAAAACTAGTTTACATTAATGGATATTATTTCTCTTCTTGCATCAATTAGTTACTCTCAATCCTGTCCCCGGATATCTCCGGATTTCTATGTATTTATACTTGGGTTTAAATGACATCGCAATGTTTTGTGAGCGGAGCTATGACACTATTAACAGTTTCATATCTACTAATTACAATAAGGTATAACAATACTTTTATTGTTCTACAACGTTCCTGATTGATTGTTCCTGTTAAGATACCCATTCTCGTGAAAGACCGAGATGTGGTACACTAAATAATGCTTCTGATTGCCGCTGCATCACCAATGTACTGGTTTGCATAGACTTACTAGTATTGCAGACTATATTGTGCTCGCCTGCGTTGACACAATATGAGTAGCAACATGCTCTCCCTGTCTGTTGGACCTTGTGGACTATATTGTATTCGTTGAGACGATACATACAATGTAACAGTCTACAGTTCCAGAGCCGGCTCCAAGCCATGGCTACATCGTCGTGCTGGTCTGTTCTGTGTGAACCAGTGACTGGTATATGTATTCATCAATTGAAGACGTCGAGTTGTATCATTTCATATACATTGAAATGCTATTTGCACTACATTTTATGCAGAACATACTGTTGATGGTCTTTATGCTACGTCACAGACATGGCAGGACATTTATACTTAAGGTATTCCGTATAACGAATATCTATTGTTTAAACAATCATCATTTAATAGCGTAGGTGTATATATTTCTATACCTTCTACGCCCCGGAGTATGTAACCGGCGTGTCATACACGATACGTGAGCGGAGGTGGTCTGTAGTGAAATAACATCTACACAAACAGACTGTTGTGGGGGCTTCGTATACCTCAAATATATTTTTTTACATGAGGTGGGCATCCTTTCCTTATTCCTTAATCCCCTTCCAATATATTTACATGTCTTTTGAAAAAAAATCTATACAGCATATCACTATATTTTTATGATTATTTCACGTACCTCTTAAAGAATCGCGGGTTACCTACTTACTTATTTACTTAAAACACAACGTAATGTTAATAATAAGGTCCTAATCAAACTAGACGATCATATAACAAAAATTTTATATGGCCATTTAATAGATCCATAGTATCTTGTATACTTTGATGCTTGGGTTTATATATTTTAGATTATGTATGTATATTACTTATATACATATATACACATATAAGTTTTATATATGTGTTACTGTTATGATAAAGTCCTGGTCATGGTATTTGGTCTTCGTTCGTTCCACGTGTTGTCGGTGTGGATGATGATGATGTCGTGGAAGGCGACGATGGTTATGTATGTTGTTTAGGAGAGGGGGGGGGGGGGTATCCGTTACAGACGGTTGTGATTAACTTCATCCGGTTCTCAAGAGGGTGAACCGCCCCGGGTGCACGTACAGTAAGTACCCTCACTATTTTCCAGATAGTTACCGGAGCTGTAGGCACACTCATTTCACGTTGCGCATTGTACAGCTAACGGTTGCCACCGCTAAACCGTCGACCCTAAAGTAAAGCTGGTCGGACACAGTGGGCATGAAAGCAAGTGAGTATGGCTTCGGAAAGGTTCGTTGGGGGTATCGTGTGGTTTTGTATGTGTGTGTGTATGTCCTAGCCAGTTTCGGCTCAGTGACTGCTATTGTTTATCAACGGTAGCTCTAATTCTAAACAATAGCGTGTGGTTTTAGCGTTATGGTAAGAGGACTGGCCGGCTAAACTCAGCGATACCAAGTGCGTTGGACGTTAGCGCATAAGCGAGAGAGAACGTCACCCGAGGATATTATTCTCATGCACTCCAATTGCAACGGTTGTGGGTAGACGTGATACTTGTCACCAGGAGCAGGATTTGTTCGTCCCGAACTTAGTATCATGAAAAAATGTATGTAGTGTAGACGAATGAATACTTACACAATAGCGTAAAGAATTCCAACAGTGCATTTTAAAATGAGCTCCATTCTCTTATCAGTAGGTTCTCTTCTCGCCTGAAGGAAGGTCTCAATGGCGACGAGGATCATTATGTTGGTATGAACGCAATGGTTGAACCACCATGGGACCACGTCGTCGTAGACGCGAGGGAAGACGAGCTCGCGGTCGATCGAGTAAAGGCTCCAGAACATTCCGAATACGAACTGTGGAAAGGAAGAAGAACAATTTGAAATATTATTACAATTCTAGATTACACAACGATGATGGCAATAACATTATAAATTAAAACAGCTCTAGGCATATCTGTTACATTAATACAATGCCGAAGCGTGCAGCACGCTCCTTCCGCCATAAGATGGTACTCACACAAGAATAAGGTACGACGAGTCCATTGTAAATGACGTCACGCCAGTACCGCAACTTGACTCCGAGTGAAGTGTGTTGTTTATCTGCCCACTGCAGTATATCGTGGCCCACTGCCAGGAATAGGAACACTGTTTGAAATGCCTGAAACAGATAACGAAATAGGTTAAGTGACGTATAATTAAAAGTACAGGTCTACATGTGACCTATCGAGTATATAACCAGAAATAGAGACGAAATAAGGGCCATCCATCCCTGGTAACTCATCAGGTAAATGAGTCTTATATCACTTTTAAATATCAACTATCGTTTGCGCTGAAATCACGTTAGAAAGCTATCCGTATATTCCAAAAATATTCTGTATTTGTTGTAATAAAGATAATATCTCTAACAATGGGCAAAACATCTAATTACAAAACAAACGGAATCACATTTCATCGGTATAAATATTAAATTTATAATTTTTCAATGCTCGTCCATTGTTGCAAAGCTCAAGCTAAACTGGTCGATGTGAAGTGAAACAATTGACGACATCCGTCATTTGTTTCGATTCGGGCTAGCCAATCGGAGCGCAGTTGTCATGGTAATGATATGACAGAATAGTTTTCAAACAAATTAAATGACTTTTCGTCTCTATTTCTTGTTATATACTCTATGGACCCAAGGGTGTCTTGAGAAAGAGGTTAAAGCTAAGAAATGAAAGAAATTCTTACACCAGCGTCAGTACATTTATGAATATTCAATTTATGTTAAAAGAATAGTATGTTTTTTATGATTAATATTGGTAAACATAACATTAATAAGAGGAATAAAAATAAACTGACTGTTTTCGACAGTCGTCCTTCCAAAATTACATTATCGCCCTATGGATTTTCTACGTCAATCAAGATTAAGCAAAAAGTTTTTATGCTCGAAAAATCAGAATTTATATATGTTTTTTTTTGTATGTATGTTACGCAATAACTCCGGTATTTGTGAACCGATTTTCATGATTCTTTTTTTGTTGGAAAGGGGGTACTTCCATAGTGGTCCCATTTCATTTTGAAGAAAAGCATCCACCTCGAAGAATGACTGTTCACGCATGAAGATTCATTTTTATAAATAGCGCCTAAATTTTACTTAAAGAGCAATTATTTTAATGGTTGGTTTTGCTGTTCTCCAATTCGAGGCGTTTATCTCTCTTAATATACTTTGAGTAGTGACAATCGATTTTTATTATCTCCTGTGCCAAGTCCCGTATAGTGGCGAACTAGGGGATATTTCAATAAAACTTAGCAAATAGATGTAATTCCACGTACTATTGAGGTCGGTTTTTTTAGTACTCTGTACTGAGATTACTATGTGAATTCAAATTCTGCAATATTTTTAGAATTAATTTATTTTATATCTTATACATTGTGGTTGCATTTTTGTAACATTTTGGTTCGAGCATTATCGTGTATTGTCTATGGAAGAATTCCGCCCGAAGTACCCGCCGTTTGCAAATCCGCCATTGTTGTCTTGTGAAGCAATTATTCATACAACAAAAAACATATCGTTGTATCTATTTCCTAGCAAATGTGATGAACAACAATGTATATAATAGGACGGGTGGTTTTTTTAAATTAATTTTTTAATTAATTTTTTTTTTAATTAATTTTTTTAAATTACAAATATCTCAAAAACTCTAATTAGTAATCTTTTTACAACGTGTAAGGGTTAATAAGTTCCGATTAGTTTCTAAAAATGTTATTAACATCCCAAAACACAGAACGACTGCTTTTCGCGGCGGTTTCAGGGTTTCGCGCCAGTAAGTGCTGGAATGATATTCCTCCTCCATTGCGTGATATCAATAATAAAAAACGATTTAAGCGTGAATACAAAAAACATCTTTTGTCTGAGCAGATGTGTCTCGCTACATAGATATTTCCCTAATCAATGCGTTTGATACCTGTATACCCTTAGAATAATAACGCATAGAAACCTAGTCCGCACACGCTAAGTGAGGCAAATTGAACGCTCCCAATGGGCCTACACGAGCGGGCGGGCCTTCAGTGCTCAAGGTCAACTTGCACCGCGAACAGATCAAGAATTTTAGCTAAAAATGACGAAATGTGCGGCAAATGAGTGTAAAAATACGTCAGACAAACATAAAATAGATACTAACATCACATTCACCACAAGGAAGTAACGCGATAGATATAGTATATAGACATAGTAAGATATAGTGTATAGACAATGTACGTCACACTGCGGGCCCGCCGTTTCCGATGACGACATGAAACGGTGGGGTTGAGCGGGCTTGTATCGCACGTGTACGTGAGACAAACAAACGTTGTTTTATTGAGCTATTAAGTACGCTGGAGGCCACAATGATGAAAGCTAATCTTTAACCGACTTAAAAAAGGAGGAGGTTCTCAATTCGTCTGAATTTTGTTTTGTGTGTGTATCTTACGCGGTAACTCCGACATTTGTTAATTGATTTTCATAATTCTTTTTTGTTGGAAAGGGTACCCTCTGTAAAATTATTTAAGTATTTTATAAATATAAGAGAACACACCATACTACATTATAGAAATATATACGTAATTTATTTTAGTTTAAACGCGACACACACGTCCGGTACTCACTCGGTTTTAGGGTCCACTGAAAATCAGCGTCACAGCCTTGTCCCGGCGGTGACATTAGCTGAGTGGATCCTATTACATACGCCACAGCCGCACACATAACATCTACTTCGTACAGCAATAGTGTTGACCAGTTTTATGATCGAATAATTATTTATTGCCAAGATTTTATTTTTAATTAATTTTATTTAGTTTTCTTTTTTTTGTTATTCATTTTCTGTTTGTTTTAATTTAGTTTGTTTTAAGTTTAATTTAGTTCTGTTTTATTTTAATTTTTTTTTACTTTTAATTTTTACTGTTTATTATTGTGTTGTGGTGTTTTGTAATAAATGTATTCTATATTCTATATTCTATATTCTAATGATTCCATTCAAATTTGAACAAAATATTCCACCTCTAAGGGTGGCAAATTAGGAGATGGATCCGGTTTATTAGAATTCACCCACTTTCTGTTTACCAATTTCAATAAAACTTAGCAAACAGATGTAATTCCACAAACTTTTGAGGTAAGTTTTTCGTCGACCCGGTGGGACAAGAATCCGCGTCCATGCTGCACCTCAACGTTGCTCTAATTACCTGAACCACGGGTCCAGTTACCGAGTCGTCGAAATTCTCATACGTGTTTTTGTTACAAAGACTGTACTAACTTTCGGCATTCGTCGCCACTAGTGACATCTAGTGAGAGTTTTTTGAACAACCTTCTCATCGCAACCGGTACCTTTACAGGTGCCACAATTGACGCAGATGACGCCTTTTGATAAATTACTGTGTTCTGTCACACCTAATAATAAGTAACTAAAAAAAATCCGACAGAAACTGCAACTAGCAAACAGTTATAAATACCACACACAGTCTTCAATATACTATATTATGTAAGTAGCTCGATTATGACTGACATTTAGGTAAAGTTCTCCCGGAAGGAACGGATATCGTTTAAAATAATTTACAGGAATAGTGGCTCCGCATCATTTGGGACAGAGGCTGTTCGCTCAAGTATCGGAGATAGGTACATGACTCTCAAATAAAAGTAGTCAAGGATCTTGGTCAGGTTCTACCAGAACCGAAAGTGTTCTGATATGACGAATCTAAGATGGCCGCCATTCAAAATTGACTATTATGAATCTTCGCAGCTGTCAATGATATACGACTGGTTTGTACTGAGATATTTAAGGATACAACTTGACGCGGTCGTACCAAGTACATGTAACTAAACTGGAGCAGTCAATATCCCTGCTCTCTTCCATCCAAACTCAACCAAAGAAGATTTTCTACTGAAATATGAAATCTAACTACCAACCTGTCACACGAGTCTCAAAGAAAGCCCTCGCGGGCTACTACGCGCGCCATCTAGTACTTATTATAAAACTGAATTTAAACAAAGGCAAAAAAAATAAATTTAAATTTAATAAGAATAATTAAAATCTAGGCATGACTGAATGTGTGTGTGTGTGTGTGTGTGTGTGTGTGTGTGTGTGTGTGTGTCCGTCCGCGCGCGTAAGTACGTGTACTTGTGTGGGTGTCTTACTATCTGTGCAATGACATGTACTGATTGATAACAGCAATAAATTATTTATGTGGATAAAAATATAATCGAGTCGACGAAATTTTTCTGTGTTCAAACTTTGTATTCGCAATCATAAAAAAACCAAAGGAGTTATTTTACAAAAAAAATCTCAAGAAATCAGTAATTGTTGTAATTATCTTAAACGACTTCCACTAGAACAGTGTATAACCCTCACGTCTTGACTATTTATACAGTTACTTCGTAAAACAATAACACTGCGATATGAATATTCATTTTTAACGCCTGAAGACATTTGACCGGGTGTGCAGTCAAGCTATACAACACCGTTCTTACAAAAAGCGGCATAATGTTGAATTCAAATCTCAAGTCGTGCTGTTGACTGTACCTCTATCTCAGTAAAGGAGGTCACAAGTATATACTTCTCATGCTTTCGCCAAAACAGCAATTAAAATATTTGCGTCCAAAATTCTTTTTCGGTTTTCTACATACTAATATTACCCGCCTACAACACCTTCCCAAGTTATACTGACCGATTTTTATAAGAAGAATGATGTCACATCTTGAAAATGTCAGTCATGTCCTTATTCATAAATTCATCTCGAATGCAGAATCGACATTAACATCCTAGGTTTTGTTTATGATATTAAGCGACACGATGCGCCTGTCCATGTTGCAATGTCACTCAGAGCTTTAAATCACAAATGTCACCCTGAGACATAAGTTGACATGCCCCATACGCCTATAATTTCACAAGCACTCTTACTCTTCAAAAACCGGAACGCAGTAATGCTCATATTATAGCACTTCCCTGGACGAATACTTTCACAAGGACCTCTACTGCTACTAATTAATCAATAATGAAGCTTTTAAAGAGAATGAAGCTCTTAATTAGGAATTTACTTATTTTTTATTTTATTTATTTATTTAAGCATTTAAAATCAATGTTAAGTTCATATTTAATATGTTAAATAACAAATAAAACGACCATAGGACTTAATGTGAGATTCTGAGAA